GCTCTCTGGTGAGGTATTTGGCCCTGAACATGGGTTGTTGATTAGGCGGTAGGGCGGTTGTCGACTGAGATAACTGCTTCATCTCGTCCAGTGCCTCACAGGCGTATTCAAAGCTCTTGTCTCTAGAGAGATGCTTCTCGATGGGGTCTTCTTGGTCGAAAAGATCCAGCAACAAGGCAACAATGTCGGCAAAGTTCAAATAAATTTGATCGAGGAATGGTTCGTTACCCAGAAGCGTCCGAACCCACGTCTCGCCGGTTTCGACTTTTTCGCCTTTAGATATAGGCGTGCTGAGCTCATGTGCGATAGCGTATGCCATGATCTTTGTGAATCCTTGCGTCACCATGTCGACCAGGGAGGTACCCAGGCGCTTGGAAAGAGACTCGACGTCTTTGTAGCGATGGCGCATTATCTGCAACGCTGTCGTCTCGGTCTGCGCTTCCTGCAGAAGGCCATTAAGAGTCTGAAAGCCAAAAATCTCATATGGTATGTCCTCGATTTTGTTGATGGCTGGGCCGTTTTCGTCGTTTTCGGGGGGCGCAAGCCATGTGTATAGCAGCTGGGGGCTAAATATTCTGAATAACTCTTGAGAAGAGGACAGACAAAGGGCTTGCGAAACCGTTTCCAGGCACCGTTTGGCATACTGACTGGACTGCATGATATTCCCCGGCGTCTCGAAGATGTGATACGTGCATCTCCTGAGCAGGGTTGGCCAGCGGCATGCGAGCTGAGACAGCACAAAGAGGCGGAACGCGATGCCTTCGAGGTCTTGGGAGTTGGTAGGAAGACTGTTCAGAACGTCAAGAAAGATATCGTCATGCATCTTAAGTACGTAGGAGCTGAATACGTCCGGCAAAGCGGACCCGATGAAGAACTTGACGGGCAGCGTGCCGCTTTGCATGATTGACAGTAAAGTCGTTCGACAAGAGTCTAGGCCAAGATTGCTCCCATACTGTGGGTTGGTCCTCAAAAGCGCAAGCAGCAAGCTCGAGAGAGACATCTGCGACAGTGGGGAAAGGAGGTTATTGGGCAAATATTTGCTGACAAAGTGATGGTACAAGTCGCCGAACATCTTGGCCACGGGCTGTTGGTCGTCCTTATAGACCGGCATGAGGCTTTGCAGAATCCTCAAGCTGGTCGAGTGAGCTACTTCGCAACAGGAGTATTCGGGCTCACCCATGATGTCGCCTGTTCTTTCAACGACACCGATCGCATCTTCTTCACTGATCGGTAAGTCAGACTCGAAGAGCTCTGAGGTGAAGGTGCTACACAACATGAACTCCTTGTCAGGGAGCGACAGAAGCTGTTCCATGAACACCTTCCCGTTGTCTTTATGCATCGATGCACAATGGTATAGACGTTGTATAGTCTCATGTATGAATGCTTCTCCATCCAGGCTCAATGAGATGTTTGAGCGGGGGACTTCGGATAGCGTAACGCTGACTCTGCTCTCCTGTGAGTCGAAATCATCGTCCACATCCATAAGATCTTGGTCCTGGCCCGAGGATTGCCGCAAGGATCTCTCTTCCACGGTTGCTGTCAGTGTCGAGATCAGCCTCAACAGTGGAGCATGTTCTTCGAGGCTGTTGATGCCCGTTGTGTTAAGTGACGGAAGCGCCGGTCGTATTGTTCTCAACAGAAGCTCGAAACTTGTGTTGTCACTCGAGTTCGAAGCAGCACTTATGCTGGCCTCGGAAAGCTTGGCCAGGAGACTTTCGATATCTCGTGACTGACCCGAGTTCAAGTCGACAAGCTGGCTGGCAAGGAGGATGCCTATGATATTTGCAGAGAAGAGACTGTAAAGTCGGTCTGAAGACATGGGAGCGCCTCCCTCTGACCCCTTTCTCGCCCACGAGTCACAGAGGTCCTGCAACTCCTCGACCTTTGGGAACAGGAGCTCCAATACTAGTCTCTTTGCGGCATGAAAAGAGGCATCGTTGGCCTGGACTGATTCGGAAGTGCTCGAACGACAGCTCAGGAGGGTGCGTGGCTTCGATGCTGGTGGTGCGTCCAGCAGCAGGAGGTATCGTGTTAGGACTGCTGTGTGGTACTGTGCCTTCCACACCTCGCAAATGGACCCTCCGGTCACTGTCAAAGGTGTCGGTGTCAAAACTCGTGCGCCACAGCAAGCCCGGATCAGGTTGGCAAGTTCATTAATCGGAGCGTGGATAGAGCAGTCGCGAGCATAGCTCCAGTCGGCTTGAGAAAGGTTAGATTGGTGAATAGCTCCAGCTTGTAGAACGACGTACCTGGATTCCATCTCTGGAATATCCATCGAATAACGTGATGATTTGTTGACTGGCTTGCGTTGGGTAGCTTGATGTTTCTGAGGGACCGTAAATGAAACATGAGGGTAATGGAAGAGTCCACCAAGAGGGCTGGGCCGTTGGCGTCGGCAGTCGTGACAATGCTGTTGATGCCATCGGAAACATCGTGGTAAAGTACAAGGTTTCTTTCAAGGACAGTGTGCAAGAGTACGCTGGCGGCACGACTGGTACTAGGAAGACCGACTGCTCGAGAAGCTACTTGCCATAGCTGTCTCCATGAGTCTGAATTATCGGCCGACTTGACCTGTGATATTGCGGAGCTTTGCGTCCTTAGCTTTAGCGATCTTAGTTGTACACAGTTTAGAGGCGCCTTACCTGGAGCAAGCGAGCATAGCCCAAGATACTACCGTGGAGTCCTTATCGCCAGCAAGGCCGGCGAGATCAATAACAAGATCCGACACTTCAGCCACAGAGAAAGTGTTTAACTGAAGAAGAAAAGGCACGAGCTGCAAGGCGAGTATCCGTGCTGCCGAGTTGGGTGACTGCAGTTTTTCCTGCAAACGCGTCGCTGCAGCGTGAGTCTTGCGCTTTTTTCGCGGTTGCTCCTCTGACGACTGTGAGATATCCTTGTTGCGGCTCTTCCAAATGATTCGCTCCAAGATGGCGAGGTTCTGACACAAAGCCCATCCTCGCTCTCCCTCCCGGTTGTGTATACGAAGGCCGAAGACCTCTAGTGTGAAATAGTCCTCGGGCAACCTCTGGGGGGCGAATGTGAGATCATCGAGTTGAAGCTGAGAATGTTTGGTTCGCCGCGAGTATTCCAGCCATAGGCAATCGGCGAGTCCTATTATCTCTTTGCGGGCTGTATCGTCACCCTCGAGGCATACAAGACGCTCAAGATGGAGGTGGATGATCAACATGGTTTTCAGCATCTCGTCCCGGATCGAATTGAGCATCCCATCTTGAGATGCTGTTCGCGCCTGCCACCAATGACTGATCAGTGGCACAAGGTCTCTGGCCAAGCTGGCAGCCCGAGAGATGTCGTTTGCTTGAATCTCGACAAAGACTTTGTTGATTGAAGCAAAGCTCAGCTGAATCACTTGGCTCAACCCAAGGTGGCGTAGCTGTAGTACCTGGATGATCGTCTCGGATAGATCAATAGATCTTTCGTGAAGCGGCGCATTTGGCGGGCGGACGAGGAGGTGGATGCAATGAATGAGGTCCTGTACGGTACCGCGATGGATTTGACCCGGCATCCTCTGGCTAGCATTGGTGCTTCTTCCAGTAGAGAAGCCCAAAGATGCCGTGCCCGGTGCTGGAGATCCCCGTGAGCCGGAGTCTCTGTCAGCATGATCGAGATATACCCGCACGGCATCGACGCAGAAGTCGACACAGTTCTTCCATCCGGCCGCATCCAGTGTAGCAAGCTGCTCGACATTCGCCTGATGGGAGAGCAGGGCGAGGATGGATTTGACATAGTCTTTCAACAGTGGCTCCACGTACGGTCCGTCCCCGGATCCAGGTGGGCAGGGTAGAGCCTGGGTGACGTGGTCGATGAGAGCAAGCATCGTCTTTCTCTTGAGTTTGCTGGCAGAAGCTCCGTGGCCGACAGCAAGCCGAAGGGCCTCGGCGCATTTGCCCAATCTGCCTCCCGCTCCTGCAGCCGTCGTCCGCTTGCCCCCGGTGTAGGTCTTCTTCTCACTGATAGCACATTTGAAGAGGATCTCAAGTATGCGATGGTAGTGCTTGTCGCGAAGGGTGGATCTACAACATTCGTCAACCAAGGCCAAGAATGGATCAGTGATAGGGGGAATTCCTTACAAACTGGCCGATTTGCCCTTTTTGTCCAGAAGATAAATCAGGTCTGCCATATGTTCAACATCTCTGGTCCTGAGCAGGCCACTGTTGTCATCAAGGAGAGACTCACCATCCAAACCAGAAGAACGCTCTCTGAGGTTGCCCCCCTCGATTAAATCTGCTGCGCTGTCAGTTGTGAAATTGCATGGCAGCAGTGTTACTAACCCAGCGCATCATTAACAGTAACGTCCCCCGTCTTGATCTTTGGAGGCGCCATTGTTGTTATATGCCATCGTCCTATGGCCTCGTCAGTGAACAACTATTCCCAAACGAATGTAAACAGATTTGATAGGCTCGGACACAAGATTAAACGAGGGTAGAGAGCGAGGATGAAAAGCGAGGTTGCAGTGTATGTACCTTCCTGCCTGCTGAAAAAAAGTTTGAGTGCACCTTTTAATGTTGAATGTCATGAGCGTGCTGTTGAGGCAGGCGTAAGCGTGGTGATTGTAGTATCAAGTAGTCGCGACGAAGCTTCAAGTGCAGCAGTGGCAGCTCACAAGTCTCAATGATACCACGAGGTGATCATTTGCTGGCATACGGCTGACTTATCAAAAAGGGTCAATGTGTCGCGCAAAGCTCAGGTATGACACTTGATGAGCTTCCAGAAGATCATTCGGTGAGACGCAGCACTTCATAGCCTGCAACGAAGCTCCTTCACAGATAGATTCCTACAGCACCTGGAGAGCTCCTTGCGCCACCTCAGGTACCTTCCTTCCTTCAGCTTGCGACTTTCCCTGGTCCCTGCCCAACTGCAAGCAAATTACGGCAGAAAGTTTCACCACCTACCCGAGGCGGATAGCTTAGGTACGTCTCTTGTTGACTTCGGCGCGGAACATCTGGAGGGGCCGCGAATTTTTCTCGACACAGCAGCCGCCAATGCACCCAATTGGACACTGGAAGTCCAGGCACCCACCACCATGGACACTGACAGCACCGACCGTTCACGCGCCTGCGGCAAGCCATACTTCCAAGGTTGAAGGACAAGCACCTCTCGTCGCTGCTGAGCTCCACACTAAAATTCCCGGCATCTCGAAAAGCGTCGCCCGCGCAGACCACTCACGACCGAACAAACGAGCAGATCCGGTCGCCTTTCGCCAACGCGACAGCTTCGCGGCCTCCCCTCATCTCATGACATCAACAGCTTTTTGAGGCCATGCAATAGCGCGCCCAGCACCTCAAAATGGCCGAACCGAATACCCTCGAAGCTTTGCAGGCTTTCCACCGCGACTTGGCTGCCATTCGCGATGGTCGTCCCGAAGGCGTTGACTCCTTGGACAACCCCGTTATCCAAGCCATATTCGAAAGGGAGCTCGAAAAAACATGGCAACGGCCTGCAAGAGATGAGAAGAGCCGTCAGGCTGTCAAGTCAGGTTGGTTTGAAGCTCTGTAGCTTCCCTGTTTAAACGTGTGCACTGACACAGCTCCATGCGCCAGGCAAGGTTGTGATTGACGAGGAGGAATATGCCGTCAACGACGAGTTTCAGCAATTGGTCCTCAGCCTCGCCGACGAAGCCGAAATAAACGAAATCGATGCCATGCGATGCCTGTTGGATTCCGAGGATGATCCCATCGCCATCGCTCGCCCACTGCTCGAATGCGCTTTGATCAGGGTTCACCAACAACGAAGATACACTCTCGACAGTATTCGACTCATGTTTGAGATTGATGCGCTGGACGACGACGAGGTTGATCCCGAGATTCTCAATGGTGTGCAGATGTATCTGTCCGCGACCGTCTTTCAAAGCCTGCCAGGCGAGACGGCTTCTTCGCAAAAGAGGCTGATTCCAAAGTGCATGTCGGCGATCCAGGATGTTAGGACATGGCTCCAGAAGATTGCCGACAAACTGACGGCTGCAGCCGTACTGATCAATGGCAGAGGTGGTCAGGTACCCGAGGAGATGGAGACGATTGAGTTCTCCCGCGTCAGCCTTTACCAGCAGCACGAGCTTCTTTCAATGATCCTGTGCCGCGCAATCGAAAAGAGGGATGCTGAAGTTGGCGACTTCAAGGCGTTCCTGCAGCTATTGAGCAACGTGGACAAGTATGACATTCTTCTTGGTAAGTACGACGACTTCTGCGAACGAACTACATCCGCTGACATGGGCTGAAGCGCATTTGTTCCCCGCATTGGGTGCGTACATCACACTATATGGCTCGACCGAAGGAGTTTCGAACCTGAACATGGCGAGACAACTCAATCCGATCATCTGCCCACAGGCCGATGAGACGACCCCTTGGCGCTTGGTGTATCTTCAAGCAGCTGTCAAGGCTTGGTGGCTATCAGAGTACAGCGGGTGGTACCTTGACGACTCGCTCCTTGGTGGCCTGGAAGGTGTTGATTTGGACAAGGAGGACAGACAGAGATCCAAGCAATTCTTGGAGGCTCTGAAAGATGGTGCTTTCGACTTCATCCTCTCCATTGCCGCAGATGTCAAGACGCCAGAGTGGGTCGACCCGTCAAGAATAACGATGCGCAACTGGCTCCAACGAAAGGCGCCTCCGCTCATCTCAGACTCCATCGCCTTCTCAGACGAGTTTCAGTCGTCCTTGATGCTTCAGTTGGAGGTCTTTGTTGATGCCTTCATTTCTAACCTTCCTGACGTCCTGCGGAAGCTTCGCGTGGAGGAGGACGAGCAGCGTCAGCTTAGCCAGACACACGAACAGGACCTCGACCTGGAGCGCTTCCTGGTGATCATTGCCTACGCGTACGAGGGCCGTCCCGATGCCGCAATGAATTTCTGGTCAGATCCCGATAGCAATTTGGCTGGCTTCATGCACTGGGCATCACGGAGAGCCTCGACGCCGCTAGTCAGCTCGTTCTGCGAGATGCTGCAGGCCATTTCAAGCAACGAGGATTGCGCCACGGCCGCGCATGAATTCCTTTTGGACGAAGGCCACCATGCTTCTGGCAAGATGAGGCGGTCGCAGTCCCTCACGTGGCACCAGATATTCAGAGAGCTTGTCTTCTTCTCAAACAAGATTAGAGAAAAGGCCCAGACCCCCCAAGCGCCATCAACATACCGGCCTGGCAGACCGACCAGCGATCAGGCCGAGGCAGAGCCTGAATCTACCATGATGTTGCAGTCATACTTGCGGCTCATTACCAAGCTCGCGTCCGAGAGCGAAGCCCCGAGGCAATTCCTCCTCAAGGAGCCCAGCTTCAACCTCGTCGAGATGCTCTTCCAGCTTGCAAGCAGTCCGATCCCTGCGGATTTGCGGGCCGGCACATTCATGGCCTTGCGAGCTCTTATCTCACGGAAAACCCAAGAAGAGGCCAACATTATGTGGCAGTGTCTGGAGGCCTGGATGAACGGTGCCTACATTGTGACGCCAAGCCAGCACCGATCGCCCCAGAGCTCTCCCATTGTATCCATGGACACCGTCAGCGACGACATTTGCCACGGCTTCGACGAGCCCCACGCCTTCATTCAGCTGCTGATCGCGCTCATTTCGCCTCCGGAAGACAGTAGCCCTCTGAATGATGGCTTGCCGTTCCCTGAGAACCTCGGCTCGGCGAATCGCATGCCGGGCATCGAAGTCTACGTCGACACTGTCATGGGCAAGGTTTTTGCAAACAAGGCCAACGAAGTCAACGATGTAAATCAACTGAGGATGCTTCGCTTGAGCTGCCTCGAATTTGCAGCAACCTGCTTGGCGACATTCAACGAAAACCTCATCATCATCGCCAATGAGACAAACATTCCCATTGACTCGGCAATGGCCGCAACGGACCTGGCGACCTACGTCAAGCTGCACCCCTTTGCTAGAGTCATGGAGTGGATGTTCAACGACAAGGTCATTGCTGCACTGGCCCAAACCATCCATCAAGACGCAGTAGACGTCGGCAATGCCGCGCCCACATCACCAATTATTCTGGGCATTCTCAGAGCGGTGGAAGTCATTTCCAAAGTGTTGGATCTTCAAGCAACATTCCTTGATCTTGTGCGCCCAATCATCAAAATGCAGTCAAATCACCGACGGGCTCCTGTGGCCAACGCCGCATACGCGTCCTTCGAGGACGGTTTGGTTGGTCATCTGAGCTTGGTTGTCGACCTCGGGAACTACTGTGGCCTCGGCCATCCCGAGTTGACCCTGTCTTGCCTGCGATTGCTGCAAAAGATGACTGCATCTTTCAAGATCACTTCTGCGTGGTCGTCCACGCCAGGCCGCAAGAGCCACCGCAACAAGGCCATCGTCGCGTTGGAGGCGAATGGAGAGCACGAGGCCATTGCCCGGGCTCTCGCCGCGGAGCTGATCACGCCGCTCGACCTCGCCGGACAAGCCGAGTCACCCAACTACCTCACCAAGACTTACATACTCGAGTTCTTGTCGAGCTGCTTGGCCGCAAGCCCTAATAAGCCTACCATTGCTCACCTTCTCCTCGGGTTCACCTGCGGCGTTGACACGCTCTCGATAGCGCCAGATGGCACCTTTGCCGCAAGAGACTCGCTCTTTCACAGCATGTTGAGGCTTCTTCTCGAGAGCCCTCACGGTGATGCCACTTGCATGCGTCACTGGCTCATTTCACTGAAGAGCAGATGCATGCGTATTTTGCGCGTATTGTGGACGTCGCCGCTGTCAGCTCCCTTCATCATTGACGAGTTGCGGGATAACGATATCTTGTTCCACTTCCTGCTGCGCGAGGTAGTCATCCAACCTCAACTCCTGTGGGAAGAGCACGAAATTAGCATGCCCCAGTTCCCACTAACGGAAGGAGCGCCGACGTTTATCGACTTCCTTACGTTGCGCAGCATGAGCTTGGAGTACATATCGATGGAGCTATGCAGCATTTCGCAGAGCCGAATGCCATCCCTCAAGCGACGCATCTTTGAGGCTCTCAATGGCCAGATTGTGGGCGAGAACAACGAACCCATGCCTATTCCCACAATCTTTGATTTGTACGACTTCTCACTACCAGACGGCATTTGGGACGAGACACTCCCTTCACTACAGTTTTACAAGGATCTGGATCTCAGCTCATGCCTCGAAGAAGACGACCACGGAAATCCCATATACAACGTAGAACGGGCAAAGGAAATTCTGCAACTCAAGCGCAGTGAACGAAGACACGACGGCGTCGTGCTCACGGCACAAGATTTTGCGAATCTGGAACGGGAAGAGGCGACAATCATTGAATATCTCATCTCTTCCAACCGGCAAAAGCGCATAGCGTCGCAGGGTCTGGGTGTCCTCAAGACCTGGACAAGCCTGCTCCTCGTCATGGTTGCATCGAACGAGTTCAAGGGCACCACCGAAGCGTCTTTCTACCTACAAGCGCTTCAGGCCATCCTGCCTGGCTTGGAGGCCTCTGCGTTTGAGCGGCCAGAGGAGGCCATGGAGCTTGCTAAGTTGGCCAGGGTGCTCCTTTTCAGACTTGACTTGACCGCGAAGCCTTCCCTTGACCGCGAGAGCCAGGCGATTGGCAGCCTGGTAAGCGACAAGCTTTACCAGCTGTTCCAAATTTGCCTGCAGGCTATTGGCAAGTGGACCGGTTCATCAGATCTCAGAGCAGTGTACTACAGCATATGCTACCGGTACTTGACGGGCATGGTAGACCAGGGACTTCTCGTTGCCGGCCGCCAGAAGACGAACAAGACTATTCAGATGTATGGGGAGAGGCTTATCAACGTCATTTGCGACGATGCGTATGGCAGCGACGCGGCATGTCAAACGGCTGCCTTCATCCTGCTCAACGCGTTGGTCAACCTCGGACGACAGGAAGATGACCAGCACATTGTGGAAACACTCAACCGACTCAACTTTATTGGAATTCTCGTTGACTCCCTGCGGACCATTCTGCAGGACTGGAACGAGATCATTCAAACCGGCAACACGGCGCAAGAGACGTACGTTGCCGCAAAGTTTGCGTTGCTCTTGCAGCTCGCCCAGACAAAGTCCGGTGCCAAGTACATCTTGCACGCAAACCTGTTCCGATCCATCGAGGCGTCGGGCCTGTTCGCCGCGGACCCGGAGCTCCAGATTGATCCGACAAACCCCAAGGCACTGGAGAAGCACTACGAGCTGCTCGCAAAGGTAACGCAGGTCGTCGGCGCCGCCATTGTCAGCCGCGGCTCGAGCAATGTTCTCCAGGGTCGTAGGTTCCTGACGGAGCATCGCATGTTGGTGACACACACCCTTAAGCGCAGCGC